TTAATTTTGAAATAGTTATACTTAATTACCTTATTTATGTATTGTTCCCTAATTTTAAGTTACAAAATATAGTTCGTAACTTATTATAATTAATGTGTATACATTGATATATGGAGTTAAAATATAAGTTACAAATAATTCCTATATAAAGAAGAGTAGAATCACTTAACACTACACTCTAATATTCATTATTCTTGGGTACAAGTTGATCGATCATATGTACTTTATAATATAGCGTTTTTGATTCCAAGATGAAGACTTGCTTGATATTCATTCTTTGGTCATACACATACAAGGAGAAATCGTTGTCAGCATAAGGAGTTTTCTCCATATTGAATTTTGGTATCTACGCGAAGGGAGACTAATATGACTTTAAGACAATATCTTGAGCGACTCACAAAAAACATTTCTAAACTCTAATTTATATCATTATATTATTTTATTGTTAAATTACATTTATCATTCTGTTGTTAATTATAAACCCACACACGAATAGCGGTTTTCACAACATTTTTGATGAAGAAGTGTAGCTGTGCAACTACTCATGGAACCAATGGCATTACTATGCATCGCATTTGCTAAACTTGATATGGATTTACAACTACATAATTGTTATATAATTGTGTTCTTATCTAGAATCTCGTTGACCACGACTTATAGGAACCGGGCTACCTACCTACCTTGTTGTGATAGGGGCCTGACCGATCCGATTAGTAAAAATTTATAGAGCTAATTTTATAATTCTTGCTTGCTTGATTACCTCACAAATACCTATTTTGTTCAATATATAGAATTCTCTTTAATTCCACGAAAGCAGGCCATGTTTGATAGCCTTAACTTTCCTTGGAAGTTGGAAAAACTTTTCCTTTTCCCAGAAAATATGTTGTTTGATGGGCAAGATTTTCTAGGCCAAACATTTTCTTGGCAAGGCAATCACGCGCCTGAATTCCTAGATTTTGATGAATTCCATGTGCTGATGTATTTTTATTTATTTTTATTTTATTTTGGCAATGGAAACAAATTTCATAATCAAGCGTAAAAAAAAATTTCACTTTCATGGACAATTTTGATACAAATGAACACTAAACTTTGATAAAAAAAAAAAGATTTTTTAGGAAACATTTTTTTCTTACTTTTTGTCAATGGAAACAAATTTTATAACCAAATGTGGAAAAAAAATTCATTTTAATGGACAATTTTGATGCAAACGAAGGCCAAACGAATACAAAATTTAAAAATTTTCAAGTAGAAAATTATACTAATCAAACACACTTAATTAACAATTCCCTATAATTCATTTTCCAAGCAATTACTTTTCATATAATTCAATTTCTTTTCACCTTTACAATCAAACAGATCTTAAAAGTAAATTCCACAATTGATGAGACACGTCACAAAGTTTTTCCTACAATTACTTCTAATAGAAGGTAGAATCGTGTTTAATGCTGTCATTGTTTTCTTGTACTTGTACAGTAGGACGGTTTGCCAAAAGCGTACGTGTCCTAGAAGAAAGCTTTGAAACCGCGTATCGAAATCCGAAAGTCATAGCGGGCATACGCCCATTACCTGTCCTTTAAGTAAACTAGAGTCGCATTTACTGCCTATGACACCTTGTTCGGGTCCACTGCATGTTGCCTATTGCACTTTGGAATTTGACCTTTTTTTTTTCCTTGGAATCAATATTTTGAAATTTGAATTAAATGAGAAATAAATTAAAATTATTGCTATAATTGCAAAAAAATCTGATTCCACCATGATGAATTTGGAAAGAGATAAATATGAATAATATCTATTAATCACGTGGATTATTTGTATTATTTCTTTTAATTTTAAGCGAGTCGAGCATACATGAATATACGAGAATCATAATTACTATTTCCCCTCGACTAGAATTTGGAAAACGGAACATTTGTATTGATAAATTAAAATATAAACAAAATTGGTGTCAAGTCCATAAGAATGGGCCAAATGTCCCAAACACTACGCTAAAGTTAAATAAACTATCAAAATGGAACAAATTTGCCTTCTAAAAGAAACAAACAATAAAAGGAATTAAAAAATTTACACGAAAGGGGTATATATGCCATTTCACAATTCAAAAGTGTTAAGTGTAACGTTGCAAACTGTCATGAAATCAGGAGTCTCGCGCACCGCGAACACCATTGGCAGTCCCGAGCTTCTTGCCGCCTCCGCCAACCGCCCAAATCCGCCGTGGAAAACTCCAATCTCTTCCTTTCATACACCGGATTCTTTTTCTTATATTAAATCCGGTTGATTTTGAGGAGTCTTTTCACATTTCTCCTCTCCCTGCGCCAACAATAAAAGCTCTTTTTGCTTGTTTTGATAGGAAACAGAGGTAACAGAAACAAAAAGATAGGTTTTCAATTGTTTTAGCCTTGGATTCCGCTCTTTCGTTCTCTTGTGTTTAGTTTGACGTTGAATAGCTGAATGTTTCGATCCGAAAGATTGATTTTTTTAAAATTTATTTCACGTTTTATTGCAAAATCTGAAAGTTAAAAATCGTTCGCCTTTTTTAGCTTTTCTAAATACCTAAGGGTAGTTTTAGGAAGAATAATTTCTGAAAATTGAAGCTTGTTTTTGTGTTTTAGGTTCATCCTTATAGATTTTTTTAGCCGTAACTACAATTTATTGAGATAGATTTTCATACAATCTGCTTCAGAATGTCCTGTTGGGATCAGAAAAAAGCGTGGACAGTCGGAACATTGCGATCATTTTATTGAAATATTTGATTGTTGTGTTTTTCTAAGTTTTGTTGTAGATGGAGTTTATGCATGGTCTTTGTCTGAGTTCAGTATGCTATAATATGGTATATGGGAGTTCAACATTATACTTGTTTTTCCAGCAGTTTCAATTAAATATGATAACTAATTTGTTGGCAATATCCACATTTATTTGAAATAGACAAACTATTCAATTTCTATCAAGTGGCCTTTAAAATCAAGGAGAATGAACCCTTTTGAAGGAGAATGAACCCAAATCGATCATTGACTGATGTAGATGTAGATGAAGAATGTGAAATATCATCAATTTTATCAGTAATCAGAAATTGTATTCATTGTCCTATCATCATATGTTACAACGTCCCACTATTTCTCGGCTAGTAACAAGAAAAACTGACCTATTTTTATTCATTAACAGGTGAAAGAATATGGCTAGTGTTCAAGATATCTCTGTTTCAGCTTCTATCAATCTCCTATCTGCATTGGCATTTCTTTTGGCCTTTGCATTTTTACGGCTTCAACCGTTCAATGATAGAGTGTACTTTCCAAAATGGTATCTGAAGGGTATAAGAGCAAGTCCCAGGAGTTCTGGGCCTTCAGTGAGGAAATTTGTCAATTTGGACTTCAGAACCTATTTGAAATTCTGGAATTGGATGCCTGCAGCATTAAGAATGCCAGAACCAGAGCTCATAGATCATGCAGGGCTTGATTCTGCTGTGTACATTAGGATTTACCTTCTAGGGTGAGTTCCTAAGGTTCAAGCTCATGCTTCTGTAGTATCATAATAAAATTGTGGTGTCATCAAATCCTCAAGCATAGCACTTTTATGGCGGTGTTAAGGGGAAAAAAAGGAAGAAGTTATTAGTTTATTCATTATAATTTTCAGTCTGCATAGAAACATGCACTTAATATTTGAAACCACAAATTAAACAATAGTACTCCTAGTTTTCCTAATACTTGTAGACGACTCTAATTATGCTTTCCAATGCAGGTTGAAAATCTTTGTCCCTATAGCTATACTTGCTTTTGCGGTATTGGTGCCTGTCAATTGGACTGGGAAAACATTGGACAACATCAAGGATTTAACATACAGTGATATCGATAAGCTTTCAATATCTAATGTTCCTTCAGGATCAAAAAGGCAAGTTCTGGATTCATTTTGCTTTTCTTATTCTTAATTTTTTAGTGTGGATAATGGTTTCTGTTTTTAATTTGAAGTAGTCTGTCTATACATGTTCTAGTTACATTCATCATATACTAGTGTGAAACTCTCTTATTTTTATTTTGTTTATAATGGGATAATGTTTCTGCTCATACCTTAAAGTTGTTTGTCTACTTTCATCTCATATTAATGGAAACAAAAGCTTATGGGAGATACTCACTATAAATTTTCTGTGTCTATAGCCTCCAGCAATCTGAACATGCTGAACAGTTGATACTATAACATCTTTCTTGACTGTAACAATACCTCTTACTTGTAAACTGACTAATTCATAAAGTTCATGTAAAGTGAGCATACAGAATCCAGAGACTGAAGAACTTTAATTTGTTGTTGTGGACAAAGTAGTAAATAATCAAGCAGCATTCTTATGAAGAAATTTCTAATCATTGAAGGCAATCTAAATAAATAAAACTTTCTTCTCTCAAACAGCTTAAACTTTTACGTGGTTACCCAATAACTGAGTTTGAATCTTGCTGCCACCCGTTTATATAAATTATCCATAAGTCAAGCGTTTGATAGAAAGTAAACCTTGCTTATTAAATCATGAGAAATACAGCAGCATGTTTAGCATGACTATGTAGCCTGAGGGGAGAGGTGTTCTCTCGTGGCATGCAAAGGTTAACAGATTTATGCAATCAAAAATTATTTAGCTTTTCTTATTGAAATGACATCATTTCAATTTCTTCAATCAATCCGTATGCTACATCTCCTGTGGTTCCTACTTCCTAGAAGAAAATAATAGATGGAAAGGATTCTTTCATTTGTTTGTAGTATTAATTAGTTTATGTTATGCTGTTTTGGATTTTTAAGTAACTGATATTTTCTTATTTTCATTCAGGTTTTGGGCGCATATAGTAATGGCATATGTATTCACATTTTGGACATGCTACATCCTTTACAAAGAATACAAAATCGTTTCCACTAAGAGGTTGCATTTTCTAGCTTCTGTTAACCGAAGGCCAGATCAATACTCTGTGAGTTTGGAAAATTTTATTAGTTACAATTCTGTTCAATGTTGGATCCACTTGTTCATCTGATTGCAGGCTTTTCTATGAACTAGTTACATACCACCATATTTCTTAGCCACCTGCTTATCAATTCCAATTAATTTTTCAGGTTCTAGTGAGAAATGTTCCTCCTGATCCAGATGAATCAGTTAGTGAGCATGTTGAACATTTCTTTTGCGTAAATCATCCTGATCATTATCTTACACATCAGGTTTGCTTCCATAAAACTCCATTTATGATATTCTGACAAATAAAGACATATTTCTTAGCTTTAAAGGATAGTTAAAAATGAGACTTCATTCTTTGGAGCCGATACTGAGACTTCATCCTGAGATATAACCACATCTTATGCATGGATTGCTAGTAGGAGCCCAAAAATGACCGTGGGACCAGTAGGATACCAATGTTGCTATCGGTTCCAATCCACCTGCATGTGATTGTAGATTTAACTCTTATAAATAAGGATTGGAAAAGGGAAGAACTAGAGTGTAGCCAATTGGAAAGAAAAGAAAATAAGAGAAATGGACCATTTTAGAGAACAAACAATAAAAGAAATGGACCACTGTAGAGAACAGACCTATTAGATTAAGTCTAGAAGTCCTTTTTTCCCCCTTAAAGAGACCCTGATTAATTAAATTTATGAGTTTGTCTTGTTCATTTTAGATTGTATATAATGCAAACAAGCTTGCTAAATTGGTGGAGGAGAAGAAGAGTTTGCAAAATTGGTATACTTATTACCAAACACGATATGAGAGAAACCCTAAAAACAGACCACAGACAAAGGTATTTCTCCTTGCATGGAAATGCTGTAGCCATAGATTTTTTGCATTAATATTCGCACTATATCACTTGTGAAATTATCACCTCATATTGGGAAGTGTATAGACAGGTTTCTGGGGCCTTTGGGGAAAAACCGTGGATGCTATCAACTATTATGCTGACGAAATTGAGAAGATAAGTGAAGAGGTAAGCCTCCTAAGGTCAAAATTATACTTTGCGCTCATTTCTCTTCTGTTTATCAAAAAATGAATAATTTTAAAGAACTTTCTTTGTTTGCTATAGACACATGCTTTCCTATTTAGGCTATGGCTCCTCGTGGTTTGTGTTGGTATACTTCTCAGTTCTCAATTGCTCATCTGTAATCTAACTTAGTTTGGTTCATGTTGCATAGGGTGATTGTGCATACAGCGAGATACATCAGAATAGCTAATAACCAACCTTTATGGGTCCAGCAACAACTTGGTAAATTAACAAGTCAAAAGTTGAAAGCTTGCAAAGATTCTTTGTCCTTTAAGCTTATCATTGAAATGATTATCACTGTTCAAGACATAAGTTATATAAATCTATATGAAGCACAGCTCTAACAGCTTAAATTTTTAAAGCGAGCGATTCAACATGGTATTAGAGTAGCAAAGATCCTGAGTTCAAGTCTCTCCACCATCCATTTAATGAAATGTGCACGAGTCCAGTTTCGAGTTTTAAAAATGAACCTCAGAGAGAGGATGTGTTAAAGATAAAACTCAATGATATGGTGGCTCTATCTAATAGTTATCTTGTACGAGAAAATAAGAAAATAGTTTACCCAAACGTACTATGCTTGCATTGTAAGTTTTTATTTATCCTTAAAAATAATTGTCATTTAGAAAAAAGTAGAAATCCACAGGTAAAATTCTAGTTGTGCTCTAAATATTCAATTCTGTTCCCTGAAGACATAAACTTACTTATATACCTGTCTTATTTATCATTTGGTAAATACCAGGGGTTTCTAATATCCTTATTAACTTGTCCTGGATCATGTGTTTGTCAATGAAATGTTCCTGTGTTCAGTGACTCTAGTAAAAGCTCATCTTAACTATACATCATCTCAAATCAGTATGCAGTCTTAATTTCCTTTTCTCAAGATACCTGTCATCTGTAAGGCTTCTCTGGTATGTCGTAATGGTTTACTTCCTGTCTTTTCTTTTTATTTTGGGTACAGGAAGCTGCAGAAAGGGAAAAGGTCATGAGTGATCCAAAGGCCATCATGCCTGCAGCATTTGTTTCTTTTAAATCCCGATGGGGAGCAGCTGTTTGTGCTCAAACTCAACAAACTAGTAATCCTACTCTTTGGCTAACGGAATGGGCTCCTGAACCGCGTGATGTATATTGGGACAATCTTGCAATACCATTTGTTGAACTCAATGTCCGAAGATTGTTAATGGCAGTTGCTCTATTCTTTCTCACATTTTTTTTCATGATCCCAATTGCATTTGTACAGTCCATAGCAAGCATAGATGGCATCGAAAAAGTTCTACCATTCCTGAAGCCATTGATAGAAGCGTAAACTAACATCTTTGAAGCTATTCCTTACTTTTTTGTATACGTGAACATAATGTTCTGAGATGCTGAAAATTTTCTGACTCAGGAAAGGCATCAAGTCTATCATTCAAGGTTTTCTTCCTGGCATTGCACTGAAGATATTTCTGATTCTTCTCCCAACTATTCTGATGATAATGTCCAAGATAGAAGGTTTTACATCGCTTTCATATCTGGACAGAAGATCAGCCTCAAAGTATCATTTGTTTATACTTGTCAATGTCTTTTTTGGAAGCATCATCACAGGAGCAGCATTTCAGCAGCTTCATAAATTTGCTAATCAGGCCCCATCAGAGTAGGTTACCTTTTGCAATATCAAGCTTACTATAATTGTTGATTGCTTACTTTTTATAGTATCCCTACAAATTATTACAGTCTAAGCCTACTTGTTAACTTACACCTTTTTATGGTTAACTAACTCCTTTCAATGTCAAGTTGACAACTTTAACGTTAAATAGACAGGATTCACTATAGTTCTTTGTGGTTCAAATAAAACCTTTTTTAACTCTACCCACCACCTATTAAGCCAAATCTACTAAAAACTTTTTTGAAGTCAGATGTAAACGTTTAGATGTCAAGCAAAATGGGACACCATCTAAAGAGTATTAAATACCATTTTATGCCACTATGGTTCTTTTGGGTTCATATAAAACCTTTTTCCACTAGCTACAACATTCCGCGGTAATCTGGTATGGTCGAATGTGGAGGTTAAATATTCCCTGAAAATGTATTCTCCATCAGGTCATATACTAGATTTCTTCTTTCCTTTTCAGTATCCTTTTATCATTGTTTCCCTCTCAAAGTACATTTCATGATACATGTATGTACATTTTATGGAGGTTTAATATTCCCAAGCATGTGAAGAAGATTTCTTTATTCCTTTTCAGTTAATTTTGTAATTTCTTGTTTACTGAATGACTATATGAATGCCCATTAGAAATTAGATGTCCAAATGAGTACAACGTTCCGTATGTTGCGAATAGAGTTGCAGAGGTCCACGGATTTGCTGTAATTGAGTCAAAAATTTAGAAACACTCAGGAATTGTGAAGTATTGACCTTGGTTTGATTAACGTTACTTGATCCTTAATTTCATCATTGATTATAG